CTGCCTTCCCAGGCAGCTGGCTGCTGCTGCAGTCTCGCCAAAACCCAGGAAAAGGGGGCTTTCAGCTGCGGCCAAGCTTGGTGGAAAGTTTTACTGTTTGTCGTGGCAAAAACGAAAATGTAAAACGTCAAAGAAAGCAAAAAAGTCAGAGTTTGGAAATTAACCTGCCACCCTCTGGAAAACATGGTGGGGAGGACAGCCAGGAAGAGCTGAGATCAGAGCCCCCTGGAGATCAGAAGCAGCCTGCAGGGTTCACAGGTGTAGCTGTTCTGGCCTGGCATGGCCCGTGGTGCCACACAGAAGGCATGACAATGGACAGCTGCAACACACCCTCCCACCCTGAGTAAAAACAAACAGCAACCCTCTCCCTCCAGCACCAAATGCAGTGTTCCATCTGGAACATTCAGTCCAGGTGGTGAAAGCCTGCAGCTAGTGAGGCCAGAACTGTGGTTCCCACATCTCCGAGGCCAAGTGGGCTCAGAAACAGCACTGCGGCTCAGCCACAGACACAGCCCTGCCCAGCAGCTGGCTCACAACTCAAACCTGTGCTCATGCCAGGGAGAGATGAGAGAGAGAGGCGGGGATGGTGAAGGAGGGAGGAGGGGAGAGAAAGGGAGAGAAAGATGCAGCTTCCTACTGATGTGCCTGGGAAAGCAGCAGCAATGCTTGGACCCCTGCCATCCATGTGAGAGACCTACATGGAGTTCTTAGCATGACCAAGACCTGGCTGTTGTGGGCATTGAGGAATAAAGCCATGGGTAGAAGATCCTCTCTATGCCTTTAAAATGAATAAACCTTTGAAAATACATATGTGTGTGAATTATTAAACACAACAAAAAGAGCATAAATTTTGAAGAGTATAAAGAAAAATGAAATAGCAGCTACGTATGTTACATCAGCTTAAGACAGGCTACCAGTTACGTTTTTGAGATACATCTGAAAGGCAGAGAGGCGGAGAAACAGAAAAAGAGGAAGGAGGGAGGAAGGCAAGGAGGAAGAGAGGGAGAGACACAGAGAGAAGGGAGAAGAGGAGAGAGAGAGAGAAATCTTGCATCTGCTGGTTCAGTCCTCCAAACACTCCAAATAGTCAGGGAGTCAGAGCTGGGCCCAGATGAAGCCAGGAGCCTGGGATTCCATCTGTCTCCACACGAGTGGGAGGAGCCCAAGCCCCTGAGCCACAGGCACATCCGTACGAAGCAGGATGACAAACAGAAGCCAGAACTCAAATTGGCCCCCTGATATAAAACACAGAAGTCCCAAACAGTGAGTTAATCCTCCGTTCCATAACTTGTCACTTCGTGTGCATACTTGCAAGCTTTCTATCCATAGAACCTTATCCGAAATACCCCTCCATAGCTCACTCTGTCAACTCAGTGTCCTCAGATTCATTCATATTCTCAAGTTATAGTGCACTACAGTTTGCCCATTTCCCACATCATGAACTTGCGGGCGGCTTGCAGCTCTCGTTATCACAAACGTCACTGCCATGATGCTCAGCTCAAGTGCCCTAGCTGGCAGGAGAGCGCCTCCAGGGAGTACGTCAGGATTAGCACTGGCAGCTGTGCAGTAGGACTCTCTTCGGATTTCTCAGGTCATGTGCTAGGGAAGGAGCTTGTACCAATGTAGGTTTATATCGTGTGAGCTCAGGCAGCCAGTACTTAAAAATAATCACAGAATTTGTCTTGTTTCTGCCATATTAGAAATTATGAAATCATATCTTACTGTAAAACGCTTGTTAGAACATGCTCTTCCCAGTAGACTCTTGGCATGTGCTTGTACGAGTTCTTCCTATTTCACACCATGTTTTAGTGAGCGACCGTTTTCTTCTCCAAATTCTGAATACACTGCGTGTACTAAACATTTGTCATCTTGCAAGTAACTTAACTAATGCCTTCATTTTTCACTGTACTACGTCATCAGATGAACACAAGTTTTTAATTTTCATGTAGCTATTTGTACTGCTTTCTTTGTACCTCGTGTTGTACAAGAATATCTTTCTCCATCCAACATTGATTTTCTCCTGCATCGTATTTTCCAGGACTACAGAGCTTGGTGGTTTATTACCTTTGATACAAAAATTTATTTAGCCATACTAAATAAATGCTAACAGAACTTTCTGAAAGATCAATATAATTAGTCAAATTGCTATCCATGTGTATTTTCTGTAGTCTAGATAACATATTTAGTACGTCTTTGTAATGTATTAAATAGACAAATTGATTTTTTCTAAAAAAAAAAACTAAGAACTCAAATTATTTGTTTTTGGAAGAATTGGTTTATTAGACTAGTGTAGTTGTTTACTAATAGATTTTTTTCTATATTTTCCTGATTACAATACTATTCAGTCTTTATGAGTCAGTTATGTTTTCTACAAGTCTAGCTGTTATGCCAAGGTTTTTGGATTTTTAACTATCAGTAACAATGTCCTTTCAGGATAGTTTTCATCCTTTGGGTAACTATAGATAGCTGCTCTCCTTCCAGGAATCACAATGTCCTTCAGTAAGTTGCATCTACTTTTCCACGGCCAATGGTATTTGTGCATTCTTTTTCCCTGCTCAATCTTTCCATTGATTACTTCACTAATTTCTGCTCCTCTTTGTTATTTTCTTCCTTTGCCATTTATGATTTGTCTTAGTTTAAGCTATATGCTAAGCTCATCAATTTCACTTTTTCATTTTTAATATGTAGTTATTGTTTCCAGTTAAGTCTTACTCCAGCTGCATCCCACACATTTATACTTTTTCTGGAATTTTCCCCCTATTCATTTATAAGTATTTTCAGATTTCTACCAGGGTTATTTGTGTGACATGTGAGTTAAGAAATAGGCTTTTATCTGCATTTTCAGATGCATCAGAGTTTAAGTCATCTCACTATTACTTTGCCAACTTAATTGCATTGGGATTAGAGAAAGCGTCTATAAAACACCTTTTGAAATATGTTCAAAATTGCTTTGTGGCTCAGATGTGTTAATTTGTATAAATATTCCATGTTCTTACAAAGAATATGAGTTTACCAATGGTTGAATTCAATATATTCATATTGCAAATATATATATTCTTTATATTTTGCTCATTGTTTTGTCCAAGTTTTCTTCTGCTGTATCAATTATTGATGGAATCACAGTAAAATCTCTCCCTACAATCACACATTTATCTGTTTATGGTTCTGTCCATCTTTCTTTTACCCATTTAAGTAAACTTAGAATTATAGTATCTTCCAAGAAATAAACCCTCTCCTACTAAATTACTGCCCACCACTAGCAGCGCTCTGTATTAAAACTGCACGATATTTTTTTATCTTGCTGAAGGGAGGGGTTTGATTTGTCTAGACCATCTTATTCTTTGTGTCCTACTTAAAGCGTAGCTAAATCAGAAGCACATTTCTAGATTGTTCTGTGCCTGGCCTGCCTTGATTTCTGCTTACTTTTACATCTAGTCTAACAGTCTTCATTTTTGGTTGTTTGAGAATTCATTTTTATTGTTTCTGATGACTGACTTATTTCCACCGTTTCTTTTGGGCTTTCTCTCCGTCCCACTTTTTCCACATTTCACCTTTGTTTTTAATGGATGAAAATCCTAACTGAAGCTCACCATATTTTAATGGGAAAAAAAAAAAAGATAAGATGCACTGACTCCTGTTTCACAGATGATAAATCAAGACGCAATGGTAAAAAACTTTCCCAAGACTAGAAAGCTAATCAGCAACGAACCAAGGCCCAAACACAAGTAATACAACACCTAGAACTCGCCACTGTACAACTGGCCCTTAGCCACACCGCCGTGGTCAGACTCGCTGTCTCACTGCAAGACTCTCTCCATGTTTTCCATCTGCCCCTCCAGAGGTTAGAAAAAAATAAGCTGGCAAATAATCCATGATCCATATGGAAAAAACAGATTTAGGGGAAAGTCCTTTTAACCTGGCGACAGAGAAAAGCATGTTGTTGTAAACTTAAAACGTTAAATGTCTAGAGACGTTGAGGCCTTGAAAAAAAAAAAACCGCACAAAAATTTGTGTAAGAAAAATTCATTTATAAGACTGAGGTAACCACTAGCTTGGGAACACACACACAGAGTATTATTTATGATTAGGCTTACTCAGAAAATTATATAAAGCCTGGAAGCTAGTCAGACCTGACAACACTCAGTTTGGGCTGTGCTACATTAGAAGACAGCAGTAACCATGTGGGTTCGGGGAACTCACCAACATCATATTTAATGGGACCTATTGGGCTACTGGGATTTCCTGGCTGCAGAGTGAGAAGTCAGCCCAGAAAGTATTAATTTTCAGGAAAGAACTGAAAAATGATGCCTGCTGGGTACCCATGTCTAAACACGTGTACCCGAGTTGAGGCCCACTCTCTGGTTTCTCCCTTCCTGGTGCTTCTACTTTTGTCCTCAAGTTCCCTTACCTCCATGAACCTCTAAAAATCGAGCATGTTTCCGGGGTTGATTTCCAAGCCAGAATAGGGCTGTTCTTTATTTTCACTTAGCCGATTTCCAAGCTCACATTCATTGTATTGATACTACGGATTGATCCTGTGTAGGATGCTTCAATTCTACCCCCGCTTGAAAGCACTTTTCAATTTTCACTGCAAAGAATCCCATTCCATAATCCAATCCTAGACAAGAGCAAAGCACCACTGGAATTCTGATCTCAACAGCTACAGCTGTGTCTGTCACTTCACACTAAGATTATTTCTGCTTCTTAAGGAAGTCATTCACTGGCTTCTGAACTAGCAAGTGAAATCACACATTCAACAAGCCAACTCATTACAAGATCATGAAGAATGATCTTAACACCGCTTCAAGTTACTCCATGCTGAATGGTTTCAAAAATAACCAGGAAGAAGCAAATGTGGGATGAGAACCATGAAACTGTCATGTTTAAGGTCACAATGCTTCTCTTTTCCAGGCTTCCAAGGGTGATATTCATGTTCTGATTCCCAGCTCTGGGCTCTTTCGCCACAGAGACTTAACAGGGAGTAAGCCCTGTGATCCTACCTTCTGGACAAGCAGGGTGGCCATTTGAGACACCACCATGTGGCCAAGGAGGAGCCATGCCAGCTTCTTCTTCCCCCATTCCATCCAGAAGCTCCACTCAAAGTCCATTGGGTCCTAAAAGAGAGCAGAAGAGGCATTCAGGGCATGTCTGGGTCAGGACACGTACCCCAGTTAGTAATGTAAGCAGGAAAGGCAGAGGGAGAAGAGACCTCTCCTCATCCACTGGTTTGCTTCTCAAATGCCCACAACAGTCAAGGTTAAGCCAAACCCAAACCACATGGCAGTGAGACACAAGTACTTGAGCCACCATCCACTGCCCCCAAAGCATAGTAACAGGAAGTTGGGATCAGAAGTATGAAGTGACAGGACTCAAATCAGGCACTAATACAGCATTGTGGTCTCCTCATTAACAGCCTAACCCACTGCACTGCAAGATCCATCCCATGATTCTGTTTTTTGTTACTAAACACTGATTTGAGAGAAAGAGATGAATCTTCTATCTGCAGATTGATTTCCCAAATGCTGCAACAACTGGGGCTGAACCAGGCCCAATCTAGAACTGTGCAATCTCATCCAGGACTCCTAGGCGAGTGTCAGGGACCCAGGTTCCTGGGCCATCATCTGCTGTCCTGTGCATCTGAAGGGAGCAGGATAGACAGTGGAGCAGCCAGGCCTCAAACCCATGCTCTCAGAGTATGCCACCATTACCAGCGTCACGTAATCCGCTGCACCACAATGCCAGCCCCAGAATACTGTGTTTCTAACAAACCCCCAGGAGACGTGCCCTGAGCTGGCCCAGGGTCTGCAATTTTGTGTGGCAGGAATCTTTATGACTAGTTACCATCCCCACAGCTGGAGGTCCAGAAACCCAGAAACTCCTTCACAGCTCAGCTCACCCCCACATCATCTCCAGGCAAGGACACACAGGGGACTCACAAAAGCTCATAGAAGAATCGAATTGAAACATTAGTTTGTTTTGATGCCAATTTTTAAAAAATCGTTGCATATTTTTTCCACTAGATGCATTTCCCAGTTTTCACAGCCCTTCCAACACTGCAGTGACCCACCCAGCTAACGCACGCCCAGAGCCAGCACCATCCTGTTCACCACGGCATGCTCTCAGCACCTGCAGCTTGAGTCTTACTGAACTGAATGAGTGAACAAGCATGGCTGTTTATTACAAGGTTTTCAATTCCAAAAACTCTGAGGGACACAACAGGACAGGGTCTCTCAAACAGTTACTCCAACTTCCTGTTGAGATGTTGCTTTCCTGCTTCGGTATAATGGAAAAAAGCACGGTGATCATAATTGCAGAAGGAAAATGCAGCAGAATTCCTCACCCACAAGAAGTGTCAAGTCTCCCCGGAAAGATGCCCGGCACACCACCACCACCACACAAACACACCAACACCCACTGCATGGCTCCGGCCACCACTAAAAGGTTTATAGCATCCAGGGTACAGGGTACCCTGTAACTACAGGGTGTTGACAGATCTGTTCTTCCATCACGCTGGGTGAGTGTGTCTTACTCATCACACCGATCGTTAAAGTAGCCTTTGGTGGTTGTTTAATAGACTTTACCTCCAAGACCAGGTTTACATTCACAGCAGGACCGAGCATGAAGAATAGTTCCCATGTGAGCTTCCATCCCCCCACCTGCTCAGCCTCCTCTCATTACTGTCCTGCACCAGACTGGTATAACGGTGATGACTGAAGGACCTGCACTATCACAGCCCAGGCTTTTGAAGCTCAAGGCCCACGCTGCCGCATGTGGCGTGGATTTGGACACACCAACAATGACCTGTACCTTCCTACCCCCATTATGGTACAGGTTGTTGCCCCTGTCTGCGCTGCTTGGCACCAGAAGTGTTTCAGTTTCTGGATTCGGGGGCTTCTGCAATATCTGCATGGACTTTACCAATTGGACAGCCCTAATCTGAACATCTGACACTGTTGCACATCATGTCAGTGATTAGGGATGCTCACCGATAGCACATAGAACAGCTCCACTGTCTTTCATGGTCAAGTTCCACCTGCTCCTTCCCTCCCTCCCAACTCAGCTCTTGCCCGCTACCAACCACTGACCATTGCACTACCTCTATGGTTTTGCCTTCTCCACAATGCCATGGGGATGGGATAAAATTGTCCAATTTTGTTTTTTTGTTTTCACTCTCTAGTCCAGATGAGTTACCTAGAAGTCAGAGACGGGAAATTCCTTGCCCAAAGCTACAAAGCAGCACAGCTACATTTTAAATCCAGGCATGTAGCATACTAAAGAAAAAGAAAAAGTTCCTACTTGCACCAGCCCTTCTATACACTCACCCATTTCAGCAAATTGTCTTCCCGCTAGAGCGGCTCATTAACACCCACTCCTACAAAGCAGTCCAGGCACATGCTCAAAGTAAGTGCTCCATCCATGGCACAAACCACATGACAGGTCACAGATAAAGCCTTCCTGCTTCTGGCTCCCCAGGCCAACCTGAACGCAATCCCTAGCTATCGAGTATTTCACAGGAGGGTAGTTACACAGTGCAGATACAAAGAGGTAATTCATGTACCCAGCTGATGAGAGAGATTTTGTGACACTACCCACAACAGTACACAATTTAAAACATCATTTCTGGAATTTTCCACTTAATATTTTTGGGCCATAGCCAAGCACAAGTAACAAATCCCTAAAAGGAAAACAATCAATAGGAAACTACCTATCAACTACTCTCTAGAAATGTGGACAAAGAAAGCCCTGTTAAAAGAAGGATTTTATCTTGCTTTAACTATGAATGAAACCAATATGAAAAACACTTGAAATAACACCTATTTTTATGTACATGTTTTGTTATTTAAATACATAAACTATTTTACTTTGGTTGTCCTAGAAACATAAAACTGAGCTGTCTGGGTGTATACCTGGGAACAGAGGCAAGCACAGGTAAACCTTAAGTTAAGCCGTTCAACAGCCAACTCCACAAAAAAGTTCCAGAGTCGGTGGACTAAGAAATCCACCTGCTTTAAGGAATATCAGGGGTGACCACTGTGGCACTGCATGCTAAGCCACTGTCTGGGACACCTGCGTTCCACATCTGGCGGCCTGTGATTTTCAAGCTTTGCCTCTGCTTCCAACCCTGCTTCTTGCCAGTGTGCACTCCGAGAAGTAACAGATGACAGCTCAAATGCCAGGTCCGTGTCACCATGTGTAAAACCCATTTGAGTTCTGGGCCTCCGTCTTTGGCCTGGCCCAACCTCTGCTGTTGCAGGCCTTTGAGCAGCAAATCAAGGGCATGCAAGATATCTTTTTCTCCCTTCCTTCCTACCTCCTCCTTTTCCTTCCTCACTCCATCCTGTTTCCTAGTAAATAAGAAACTGAAAAGAACTTTTACAAAATGCTGCTACATTTAGAAGGCCAGGGGAAAGTAACCACCATTAACACTCTCATCCAAAGAGAACACCTTCTCTGAGTGGCAGAGCCTACAGATGGGTGCATTTTACACTGTCTCAATCCCCTCCCAGGATGACTTCTTAATCCTCAGAGATTAGAAGATGGAAGACCACACAACCCAGAAGTCCCTGCAGCTGGCACATCTGCTATCCTGCTACTGATAAGCAAACACAAATGCTACCGCTTTTTTGCAATGTTTAAAATTACTTTCATTTTATTTAAAAGGATGGTGGAGAAGGGGAGAGAACATCTTTCATTCCATCGGTTCACTCCCCAGAGTCCCACAGCTGCTATGGTTGGGCCAAGCTAATAGTGCCTGGGGTCTATTTGGTCTCTCCTTCTGGGTGTCAGGAACCCCCAAGTACTTGAACTATCACTGTTGCCCCCAGACTATGCATTACCAGGAAGCTGGACGAGCAAAGTAGGCAGACTTACACCAAGCTCTCAAATGAGGGACACAGGTGTCCCTGGGAGAATCTTAACCACTATGCCAAATGTCCTCTCTGACACCTTGACCTTGAAAGTCACAGCACATGACCTGGGACTCTTCTGAGCAAATGGAAACAAGTCTTTTGGTTGTTCTGTAGCAGCCACGGTGGGGCCTAGGGTCCAGCAAGTCCAGAGGAGCTGTGGCTGCCTGTTGTAGCAGGTGCTGTCCACACATCTGGCTTTGCATCAGCAGCGGTCTGGGGCAGTGGCTCCAGGAATGGTCCTAGGAGCTCCCGTAGTGCCTCTCCTCTGGCATCTCAATTGTTCTCAAATATCCTTAAGGTTCTGCAATCATTCTCCTTTTTAAGATGACAGGAGTAGAACCTGGTGTCTGCCATGGAACTCTGATTAATGTAGCATGAAGAAATGCTCCTTCTAACTGGATTCCAGCTCTGGGTTTACAACGGAACACAACTCATGTTGAAGATCTCTAAGTCAACAGAGGAATCCACAGCTACGTCACCACAATGAGCGTTCAGCAGGGTAACCAACACACTGAGCTCATGCTCAAACACATTCCACAAAAGCACTTCATTATGCATTTCAAAACCAAACAGAAAACCACCACCCTTATCCCCTGTGAAGTTCCTTCTCTCTCCTGATATAGGAAACACCAATGAAACTCCCTACCCTCTTGGCCAGCAGGCTGCAGAAGCAACACACAGAAGCTGACATCTTCGCCTATCCATCTGTTATTTGCATCCTATTTGCTCTCAGACTAACCCGATAGCTAAGTACATGGGAGTTACCCGTCATCTGAGAAAACCTTTGCTACATTATCAAAATCATGTTTCCCAGGACGTTCAAAAGCAGCAAACTCCCACCTGAACGGCCTATAAACCCCCACTCATAGACACAAAAGCAGATTGATTTTGTCGGAATTCTGCGCCAAAGAGATTCTGCTCTCTGGATGAACTCGAGCTAATGATTCATTGAGCAGTGATTGGAAGGGCTGGTTTTTTTTTTTTCCACAGCTGCTTTGCTATTTCAAAAATAACTTGAACTCAATCATCTTACTGCTCATAATTTCCAGCCACAACAATCTCTCCCAACCAACATTTCCTAAAGATAAGATGTTCTCCCTAAGTAAAACTTGCTTTTGCAGACATACCAGAGTGTCTGCTAGGCTATTTACCACCTGCATGGGTAAAGCAGGAGCCTAGCAGGTGGAAAGGTTTGCCCAGAACAGGGACAAAGGGCACAGTTCACCATCAGATGCATCATCTACGTGCGGCCCCCTGGACCAGGGTGTCATCACAGAGCAGAAATGTTTCATGGGAGAAGAGGACTTTATTAAATTGCTAGCAACCAATCAAGAGAAAATTGTCACTCAACTCCATGACAATCTCTTCTTATAGCTCTCCATGTATCTGTTTCCTAGCAGTCTCTACATCATGCAAGACTCTACACAGCAGTATGGCTCAAAAAGTTAGCAGGGAAAAAAAAAAGCAATGATAAGGTAAGTTTATTCTAGTGTGCAGCAAGTTTAAATCCATGTATGTGAAATGTCTTCCAAAAGCCCACATAGGGGTGTGTGTTTTACCTGAAGACAGCTGCAACCCCCAGTGGAGTATCTGGCCTGGATTCCAGGTTTGAGCTCTTGACCTCATCTTCCTGCCACACAGACCCCTGGAGGCAGCAGGGAGGGCTCCAGCACTCGGGTCCCTGGCGCAGGCATGGGAGGTCCAAAAGGTGTTCCAGGCCCCAGCTTGGTCTAACTCAGCACTTGCCCTTGCAGACATTTGGGGAGTGAACCCACAGAACTCTCTCCCCCTCTTTCCCAAATAAGATGAAGATAATTAAATTTAAATATTTTAAGTGTGGAAAAAAAAACATTTTTCTTTTTGCCATCAATGCTGGCGGAGAAGAGGGCAACCCTTGTGAACCTGCATTACCATTTTTCTCCTTGAATTTTTCCCCCTGCACGACAGGCCAGATGAGGGCACATCGGAATGCCGAGGATGGAAGGTTCTTGGTATTTCTTGTTTTCTGTTTATTGGAAAGCAGGTATACAGAGAGAAGCAGATAGAGAGAGGAAGATCTCCCATTAGCTGGTTCACTCCAAGTGGCTGCAACGGCTAGAGCTGAGCTGATCTGATGCCAGGAGCTTCTTCCAGGCCTCCCACATGAATGCAAGGACCCAAGGCTTTAAGCCATCTCTATTGCTTTCCCAGATCACAAGCAGAGAGCTGGAAGGGAAGTGGAGCAGTCAAGACACGAACTGGCACCCCTATGGGATCCTGGTGAATACAAGGCGAGGATCTAACCTAGGCTATTGTGCTGGGCTTGGATACCTGAAACTTACCTTAAAACATCCCAACACACGAGCTCATTGTTCCAGGCAAGCTTTTAGGCACATTTCTCCCAACCCACATCATTAAGGACAGCTAAAAACCAGGGAGACCATCAGTTTCAATAAAACATACAATGACGCTGAAAGCACAGAGGGCAGGTTGGCTAGGGAACTACAATCAGCAGATCAAAGTTAACTGAAGCCCATAATTCATTAGATGGATTCAACAGCACAAGTAGAAAACAGAAATTGCTGAACCTAAAGACAGAGCAACAGGAAATGCACAATCTAAGAAACAGGAAGACAGACAAGAAGTAAACTGTGCCAGAGACCTGGGGCATAGCACCCCAAGTCCCAGCATTGTGTCACTACATTTTCCAGAAGGAAAGGAGGGAAAAGTATAGAGCTGAAAAACATTCACTTAATAATGGTAAGCTTTTCCCAAACTTGGAAAAAAGTCACAAACCTACATATTCAAGAACCGGAATGAATGTCAAATGAAACACATTAAGTAACACATTAGTTAAATGGATCATAAAGTGACCTAAGTCCCCACTATCTACAAGCAATTCACTTCCAACACAACAGTCGGGAAGCTTACGAGTGAAAGGCTGGATAGGACACACACGCAGACATTAACCACATGAGAGGAGGAGCAGCTTCTTATCACACAAGGTGCACTGCAAAGAGAAATCACACAGAATCTCCACCAGGAATCACTGCTATAGAAGGATAACCGCTCACCAAGAACACACAACAGTCCCAGTATCACATGTGTATCATCTCTACACAGTGGTTGCCAGGGTTACAGGGGAGGGTGGAAGTGACTCCCAAGAACACAAGGCATTCTGAGGCTTTGTATCTTCCTAGTGTTGCTGAAGGTGTGCATCTAACCACGTCATCCAACTGCAGTGCCTGAGTGGGTGCTCAGTCTGAGCAGCTAAGTCTCCAGGGTCCCTTTCCATTGGTGTCCTTGGGTCTAGTTCCCAGTTCCCAGCTAATGCAGATCCAAGAGGCAGTGGGGACGGCTCATGTCATCAGAAAACTTGGGTTGCATTCTGGCTTTCAGCTTCTGCCAGGTCCCAGGCACCTGTGGACACTTGGGGTTTGGGGGAACTATTTCATTTGCACTCTGCCTCACAAATTAAAAGAAAGCCCTCCATGACCACCCACACAAATGAGCACCTGTAAAACTGGCGAAATCTGAATGAGGTCTGTGCATTGTACCAATGACCAGTTTGAGATTAAGGAAGCTCAGTGAAGCCCTCTCCGCCCTACACTGCTACCACTTCCTTTGAATATAGAACTATTTCTTCTAGTCAGACCTCTGTCTCGCCCCCTAGTGGTAGCTCTCGGGACATACGTCGTAAATAAGGCTTGTGGAAACTCCAGGGCTAGGCTCAGACCTCATTTGCATACCCATAGTACCTTACAAGTAGTACAACACTTTCAAGCTTCAAAAAAATATTTATTTCAACTCGACATTCCTAACTATATAACAGTTATTTTCAGAATTTGCTGGTACGAACTTCAAGCAGTAAACAGAACTTGGTGATCAAGCCACCATTGGTGAACTAGCAACCTCAAGTCTCTGGGGAAGGGAGGTAAGGTTCCCAACCTATACTCTGGTTTCTCTTCAGAACGAATAAATCTTTCGCCTTTTACTAAAGATTTCCGTGGAGAGAAACAAATCTGAGTTGTTAGCTAATTTTTTGAGGTCTTGCATTAGCAAGACTGATAATTCTGTTGCAATGAAAGATCTGAAAGAACAAACAGGTTCTAAGCTTAGGCCTTTTCTGCACAGTTACGACCGTGCCACCCCAACCAAGACAGCCTGGGTTGGATTGCTGCCTCTGCTCCCAGCAGCTTCGCACCAGAACAAACCCAGGGAGACTGAAGTACTTGGAGTTCCTGCCACTCTGTAGCAGCCCTGGATTGCATTTCTGGCTCCAGGGACTCAGGGTATTAGGAGAGTGAACCAGCAGAAGAAGGAACCCGCAAACATTGTTCCCCAGGCAAATTATACATTCCCCCAGTCCCAGGCTGTGGATCTCAGGTGCTCTGCACAGAGCGGAGAAGACAAACTGTTGCCTCAATTCTGTGCAAGACGCACAGCTGTCGAGGTGGGAAGATGGCAATGCCCAGTTGGAAACAATAGTGGGCTGGGGGCTCAGACCTTAGAACATAAGCTGTATTTTATGGCCCAAGCTACCCAAAACATCTGATCCAATTAATGATACATCAGGTCCCCAAAATACTTAGGAGTAAGAGCAAGGAAAAAGAAACCTTGCTATCACTTTAGAAATATGCTGAAAGACTAAACAAAAATAAATACACAGTGCAAAATAAACCTCAAATCATAATCTGGGCCTCTCAGTCAAGTAGTTATGAAAACGGTGACCAGGAACAGGGTTTCTAGTAGAAAGATGATGTCCACAAAGCAGATCAAACTGCCGCCTGTGGTGTCAATGTGTGCCGGTTCTAATCCCAGCTGCTCCACTTCTTTTAAAAAATAAATGAATAACAACAAAACCCTAACCCTTTTTTTAAAAAAATAAAGAACAAATAACTTAAGGGCAGAGTTATAAAGAAGGGGGGGGGGGGGCTTCCATCCACTGGTTCACTCCACAAATGGCGACAGCTGACTGATCCCCAAAACCAGGAACCAGCAGACTCCTTTGAGTTTTGCACATGGAGGCAGGGTCCCAAGGCCATAAGCAGAGAGCTGGATCAGATGTGGAGTAACAGTGGAATCATCGGTGCCTCTATGTGAGGTCATCAGGGCAAGTGGCAATTTAGACTACTATGCGACAGTGCCGGCCCCCAGCTGTTCCCCTTCCAATCTAGCTCCCTGCTACTGAGCCTTGGAGAGCAGACGATGGCTTAAGTGCTTAGACCCCTGTCACCCACCTGGAAGACCCAAGTGGAGTTCCAGACTGCTGGCTTCCACCTGACCCAGCCCTGGCCATCACAGCCCTTGGGGGAGTAAATCAGCAGATGAAAGATCTGTCTCTGTTCCTCCCTCTCCCTGTGTGACTCTATATTTCAAATATACAGATTTTTAAGGAATGAAGAACAGTGTGCCCCAACAGCAGTCCACTGGAAGCAGGGCCTTTGGGACCACCTAGGAGAGTCTCTGAAGGGCACACAGTACCTGGCCTGTCCCACTGGAGCAGCCAACAGGAGCTGTGGTGAGCCAGCCCACTAGCCAAGAGTGCAAGGCGGAAGAGGGCCCGGGAAGTCCCAGGCTCCATGCAGCAAGAGGAGAGCCAGAAGCCCTGGAAGGCCAGAGGACAGTGTCCCTGCAGTGTCACCCATACCCCAGGGCCACAGGAGGTCCTCAGAGGCCCGGCTAGATCAGAGTGGAACTTCCCAACTTTCACAGAGTGTAGCAACAGTTGAGAAGGTCACACAGTCAGATTTCTGGAATCCTAAGGAAACAGGACAAGAGACAGAGGGACAGCCTAGAGGGAGTGCCTCGTTCAACCCCCACACCGACTGCATTCCAAACACACTGAAACTGGGTTTGCAAACGAAGAAGGGTTATCATTTGTCTGCTTAGTACCTTCTTTAAGCCTCCAAATAACGCATCCGTCTCCAGCTCAAATTCTTGGTCCAATTCCTCTTCGTGTTCTGACAAGAGAAACAAGCCCTGTTAGTCACAAACGCAAACAAAATCAGCCTGACTGAAGGGCAGAAGCGCAACGGAAGCTGGACAATGTCCCAAAAAAAAAAGCTACCAGCGGAGCCAGCAACAGGTAGCAAAACGGGTTACACCCGACCTCGCTTTCCTGCGACCCCAGTTCCTATAGAGCCACACAATAGAAATCAGCATGTCCTGAGAACAAAAGGTTTCACAAAACCAGCAACCAAACCCTGCTTGAGGATGTGCAATGAGCAGGCATGGTGTGAGACCAGGGATGAGACAGAACTGGAATGCCCTGGGCTTTGCCCCACCTGGGGCTGTCCCTGCACTGGGGAGGACAGCAAACCAGAGCAATGGGCAGTGGTGCAGAGCAAGTAAGGTCTCCAGCTGGATGGGCATGGGCAGAACTCAAAGGAACCTCCTAAGCTGGAGAAGATGGAGGGAGCAGACCTAGCAAGCGGCCAGTCTGGGGGTAATGGCAAAGCCCCAGGACGGCTCAGCTTCTCCCCCAAAAAGGACAAGGAGTAGACAGAAAAGAAAGGGGGAAACCAGTGCTTCTCCAACCAAAGCTCTAGACCCACAGCAAACCCAGACGGCAGCATCACTGACACAGAGGGCAGGAGCACCCCCGTTAGGATGCCCCCAGCCGCCCCAGCTGCAAACCACAGGCCACGTGGCTCGCAGCAGCGAGAGGGGAGGGAGGATACCGCAGGGCACACAGGGAGTCCTGTTCCCAGCACATTCCCAGCGCTCCTGCAGAGCCATGGTGGTGTGTGGTTGCCATGGCCACCGCTGCAGCTGCACACAGCCGGCAGTGTGTGTGTGTGTGTGTGTGTGTGTGTGTGTGTGCGCGCGCGTACCATGCGCACACCCAAGTCAAAGAGAACAAATTCATGAGCAAATGACAAGTTACGGCAATATGCAAGGAAGTCACAGACACCCCTACCCCTTCTCCTGTTTGGGCTTCTTTCATACAACCTCCGAAACCAGAATTATACAAAATTAAAGCAGGAGGCCCGCATTTCAGTGCAGTAGATAAAGCCACTGCTTACAACAGCAGCATGTCACGTGGGTGCCGGTTCACATTCTAGCTGCTCCACTTCTGATCAGCTGCTCCTTGCTGGTGGACTCAGAACGTGTCACAAGACAGTCCAAGTGCTTGTGTCCGTGCTTGTGTCCCTGCACCCACGTGGAAGACGGGGCGAAGCTCCTGGCCTTGGCCTTCCAGCCCTGGCTGCTGTGGACATTTGGGGAGTGACCCAGTGACTGGAAGATCAACCTCTCTCTCCTTTCTTCTCCATCCCTCCCTCCAGTCCTCTCCCCTTCTCCCTAGAACTCTTTCAAATAAATAAGCCTTTTTTAAAAAAAAAATCAAAATGATGGGCCCAGCACTGTGGCCTAGCTGCTAAAGTCCTCATCTTGAGCGTGCCAGGATCCCACATGGGCGCCGGTTCTAATCCCAGCGGCTCCTCTTCCCATCCAGCCCCCTGCTTGTGGCCTGGGAAAGCAGTCGAGGAGGGCCCAAAGCCTTGGGACCTGCACGGGTGTGGGAGACTAGGAGTAAACTCCTGGCTCCTGGCCTCAGATCAGCTCAGCGCCAATTGTTGCGGCCATTTGGTGAGTCAGTGAATAGAAGGTCTTTCTCTTTGTCTCTCCTTCTCTCTGTAGATCTACCTTTCCAATAAAAAGTCTTTAAATATGATTTTTTTAAGAGCACACCCATAAGTAGTAGAAAAATTAAGTTCCATAGTTCCATTGGCTTAAAAAAAAAAAAAAAAAGCAGTTAACTGGTGTTTACAGGCTACTCCTGGATTCCCTGAAGCTGACACACATCTCCCTCTAGTGGGGAAAAAGGAGACATGCAGACAAAAGAATTACGGACTCCTGCCCAGCACTGTCTGATAGAAAGATGTGAGACTCACTCACAAGTGGGGTAGGGTGAGAGTGTAGGGTACTAAGTTTCATTTTCTGTAAGCCAATATATCCAAAATATCCATTCAACATAGAATCAGCACTAAGCTACGATGAATGCATAATTTTACATTCCCTTTTTCTTATCACTTCTTTGTAAGTGTACTACTATTCCTGCCAGCACATCTCAATCCAAACTAGACACATGGAAATGCTCACTATCTACGTGTGGTTCGTGGCCACAATGTCAGCATAGCTCTGCCCAGACCGAAGTCCTCCCTGACCTTTTATTTTAGATAGATTTATAGAAAGAACGTGACATTGTTTCACAGTAGCCAGAACTGAGCCAATCTGAAGCCAGGAGCTTTTGCCATGTCTCCCTCACAGGTGCAGGTTTCCAAGGACTTGGGCCACCCTCACGGCTTTCCCAGACCACAAGTGGGAAACTGGCTGGGAAGCAGAACAGCCAGGACACGAACTGGCACCCATATGGGATGGCAGCACTGGGAGGTGGAGGATTATCCAGTTGAGCTATCATGCCAGCCTTTCTCACTGACCTCTACATTCCTACAAATTGCCCTTTGTCCAGCTTTTTAGCACCAACCAATGTGGCACTGAAAGTGAGCCTTTATCCCAAAGGCCTGAGACACAACCTTCACCTGACCCCAGCCACCCTCCCCGGTTTGCACTTTGATGAATGCAGCTCCTTACGACCAATTCACTCCATGAAAAGAATAACTTCCCCGGCTCCTAGGGCAAAGCCACCTGTTCCAGACCAGGAGCAGAGGCCCTTGTTCCCCTCCCCTGGGATGGGACACTCTGGTCTTACCAGCCCGTGACAGTCACCAAGTGAGTGGGAGAGACTCACTCCGTCCTAACCCAGCAGCAGTTAGTGTGGGACACAACAACCTAAGGAAAGAGTCATCTATCCACAAACGATATTCTTTCCTCACAAACGGTAATAAGGGAGCCCACAGGAATGAACAGGAATGAACAAAAGGCTGAGAGAAGATGAATGCATTCAGCTATGGCTGCATCCCACCTGAAGAACACCTATTATGGGGAAAACAAAGAAACTGGGGCGGGGATTCAACTAAGTACTTTACACCAGAAAAAAAAAAAAAGCCTTTTAAAATACTAGGGCCTATAGTAAAGGGGAATTATTTAAGGAAACATTAACTACAGATCACTGAAAATTACAGAAATGGAAACAAAGCACCTGTGAAATGAAAACACAAATCAATAGGAGGTACAGTTCCATTTACAAAATCCCCATTCACGTGGTACATGGCAGGAGGAAGCCAGAGCACAAAAGGTGGCCCGGATGCTCTTTGGGGTCTAGAAAAGCAGCTGCTACCAGAATCTTCAGAGAACAGAAAGGGCCAGGATGTATCCAGTCCAAGAATTGTTCCTTGAGAAAATAAGAGTATGATGAAGAAAGTTTTGGTAAATTTTTTAAGACAGGATTGAAAACGTAAGAAAATGACACACAACCAACCCACATCCAAGACTGGCCACACGGGCTGCAGCAGCTCAGCTCTGCACAACTTGTACCGGCTCCCTGCTCATGGCCTGGGAAAGGCAGCAGAAGATGGCCAAGCGCCCGAGCCCCGCCACCCACACGGGAGATCCAAACGGAGCTCCTGGCTGTGGCCTGGCTGGCCCTTCCCTGGCTACTGCGGCCATCTGCAGAGTGGACCGGTGGCAGATCGAAGATTCTCTCATTCTCCCTTTCTATAACTATCAAGTAAGTCAACAAATCTTGTTTCTTTTTAAATGATATGCAACTCTAGGTCAGCATATTTTGAAATTGTCAATGAAACAGAAAAAAAAATCGCCCACATTGACTTTAAAAAGCCTAAATAAATCAACAACCCTGAGCAATACCAAGGAGTTTTCAACAAGCTACTCCCAAAGGCAGCCAGCTCTGTGGTGGACAGGTTACATTGCCACCACCTTACAGGAACTGGTTTGAGTTCTGAGTGTTCCACTTCCAACCCAGCTTCTGCTGACGTGCTTGGGAAAGCAGACAAAAGGGTCCCAAGAACTTACGGCCCTGCCACTCACATGGGAAAACCAAACTGCATCCCAGGCTCCTGGCTCCAGCCTGACCTAACCCCAGGCATTTGGAGCATTTGGGGAAGGAAGCAGATGGGAAGATCTTTCTTCTTTCTTACCATGCAACTGTGCCTTTCAAATAAATCAAGCACTGCAAAAGAGAATCCATGCCTTCACAGACTTACAAGTGAATGATGTAAGGCTGTGATACACACATTGCATATAGAAGCTAAACCTATCCTGGCTCCAGCTCCGGCGCTGCACACCGCCTAAGTCACTGGGTCTGCAACACCACGTAAGAGACCTCAGCTGGGCTGTGGGCTCCCAGCTTTAGCCCCATCTCCATCCAGCCCCACATCCCAATCCCCACCCCGTTGCAGGCATTTGAAGAATGATCTAGTGGACAGAAAGGAACTCTCTGTGACTCCTTGCCTCTCAAAAATCATAAGATTACCTAACTCAAAATGAGATGAGACAGTTAATATTATTTATTTGCAAAAAAAAAAAATCTAATGTTTCATATCACACACACCAAGGGCATGTGAGATGGTTCCAGAAGCAAGGACCAGCTCACCGAGAGCAGGGTGGAGTGGACATGCTCCCACGGGGGACGTGCTGACACAGGCTCCTCGAGTGCAGCCTGAGTCAATCGATCAGGAAGCTGAAGAATGTTCCTGCGGTTTCCCCCATGATTCTGTTTCTGCAAATCCTTCAGAAAAAAGATACAATAATGCCAACGCATGCTTTACAAAATAAAGGAGACAAGCACTCAACTCCTGAGGTTGAAACAAAGAGCAAGCAAGCACAACCAGAAACACAGAGATCAATGAATCGGAGAGCAACACCACCAACAACAAAAAGATTGAGAAATCTAACAAAGCCATGAGCTGGAGAGATGAATAAGCTTGCTGGCATAGTTGACAACAGGGGAAAGAACAGCAGAGAGAGAGGACTTGGGAAGAATTTAAGATGTAGATAAAATGTACAGAACAAACAATGACCAAAGGAACAAAAGTGAAAAGCAGGCTGATGAACCCCAACATACTTATCAAATTGAATAGGTACATAAAACAAAGATTCCCAGAATGCCAGCAAATGTCAAAAGAGTGGTCCCTCATTTTAAACATAAATGAGTAGGGAGCAAACTGGAACGAAGGCTTTCCCTCCCAGACTTCCGACCACCCAATCCTTCACTGACGAGAATCCCACTGTTTTCCTATGGAATACTGCATTACCTTGACTTGACCACAAAAATTCATGGCCTTCAATTTTCCCAGTGACCTACACTATGCAAGTCAGTGGCACTTAGACATGTGACATGGAATCAAGGAGACTCAACCTCGTATCAATAAAACATACTTTAGCAAGGATGGGGAGCTGAACTGGCCAAACTGTTCTAAGATGAGAACGTGCAGAAAAAGAAAAGTGTAGGGGACAGTGTTGCGGCCCAGCGGTCAACCCTTCAACTGCAACAATAACTCCCCGTAGGAGCACTAGTTTTAGTTCTGGCTGCTTCACTTCCATTCCAGGTCCCTGATAATGTGCCTAGGAAAGCAGAAAATAGCCCAAGTGCTTGGGGTCCTGCCACCCATGTGGAAGACATAGAAGAAACTCCTGGCTCCACCCAGGCTCCACCCATGCTGTTGAGGCCATTCAGGGAATGAACCAGAAAATAGAAGATCTGTGTCTCTGTAACTATCAAATAAATAATTCTTAAAAAAATAAAAACTAGCATTTTCCAGCCTCCCAATTCTGATTGGGTGCCAACAAAGTAGGTGAAAGCAGGAGTAACAGGTGTCAGATGCCAATGTACTCAATAGAAACAGCAATCTACTCACAACAGAAACAGAAGTTCCCCTATTCTCCTTACTACGGCCTGGAATGCAACCTGGGGAGGATTCCTCTGCCACCCACAAAGGAAACACATTGAAACTGGTAAAAGGAGCAAAGGAGTGTGGCCCTCCAACACCACCAACCCGTCTGCCCTGTCAGATACAGCTATCTATGAGGACCAGGAGTATAAAATCCCAGAGTTCACTTTGAAGTAAACCCCTACCATGACTGTCAGCAGCTGCAAAAATGATGAGTCATAGAAAGGGACCCCAAATCACCTAAGAGACCCTGGATTGAGATAAAACTTCACGGATTCATGTCATGGATCTGAACTATCCAAGATTCAGGGAAGGCAAAGCGGGCCTCCAGTCATCTCACCCCAGCTGGACCAACTTCATGAATCTTTCACTTCTGAGTACTCCCTCCCCACTTCATTTTTTGGATAGGAAGTTGGATCTGGGCCTTACCTCTGGACACTTTATAAACTTCATAGAAGGAATAGAAGTGGAAGCCTAGTGAAGCAAGCAGGTAGAGGGACAGCTCCCATCGGGACAGCATCGTGCCTTGCCACCAAGATTCTCGATGCCCACGCTCACAGCTTCTAAGAATAACAACAAAGACACAAGGTTAAACCATGATCATGACAGTTCAGCCAACTTACACTCCCAGGGACCTACTCAAGGCAATTCAGACAGGACTCAGCTCATGTGACCTTATCCCACCCTGCATCCAACACAGGCCTTTGCCTGCACATGCCCCACCTGCCATGGTGGTTGGGTCTTTCACCTGAAGCTCCCAAATGCAGCCATCTTTCACAGTAGGTATCAAAGGGTTCCCCACCCATCACATGCACACCTGGCTCTCCCTGTGCAGAAGCCTCTAAGACTTCAACACCGAGCACAGTAGCTGGAGTAAAGCAAGAAGAGACTGCAAGCCTGGTTACAAGAAAACCACAATCACTTTCCACCCTCGGTCAATAGCTTTCATCTCCTGATTCTCCTCAAATGTCAGTCCCAACTGTTGATCAGGATGCATTAGCAAAAATGGCTTTGCCTTGGAGTCAGCATGGTGGCCTAACAGGCTAATCCTCTGCCTGCTGATGTGCCAGTGCTGGCATCCACTTCCCAATCCAGCTTCCTACTTACAACCTGAGAAAGCACCTGGAGGATGGCTCAAGTCCTTGGGCCTCTGCACTGACGTGAGCGTTCCAGATGAGCTCTTGGCTTCAGACTAGCCCAACAGATGGAACCTCTCACAGTGACTTTCAAGTAAAAAAAAAAAAGTAACTATAATAATTAACCTTTTTTAAATGGCCTTGCTTCCCTTGCATCTGTGTACTTCCTCTAAGGGAGTTGACACAACTCTAGCACCTCTGATAACTGCTAGCAACCTTTGCTCATCCCCCAATACCTTTCCTACAAAACAGTTGAATTTTTAGCTGAATCCACGGATATTGGGCTCAACACTAGCCTGTAGTCCAGTATGGACACTTCGAATGGTTCTAGCCAAAGGATTGGGAGTGAAGGGATGTGAGGCTGTGACCAGCCTCTTTAGCTCCTGCTGGCCAGCACTGGAAGAGCCGTCATGAAGTAAAAGGTCAAAGTCATGTAAAACAAGACAGAAGACATCCAAGTTCCTAACTCCCTATACCACTCCCACTCACGAGCTGCCCATGGCCAATGCTATTTGGATCCTTTAAAAGGTCTGCTTCTCGGCTGTTTAATCCCCAGGATTCAACACCTCTATCTTGGCAGCCATGTCGACATTCTCGGTGGAAGACATGGAAAGTTACCCTTCACATTCAGCATGTTAAAGGATCCCAATTCTTTCCCCAATGACAGATCACCTTAGCTGAAGCCCTTTTGTGGGCTTTACTGCTTTCCTTATGCCTCTCAAATACATCTCATTGCGGATGCTAAATTAATAAAAATTTCAAGTCCCAAGTAATCAAGCACTTCTAATAGGTGACAAAAATGCCAAAACCAGGATTGACACATTTTCTCACTTTGTTTTCATAAATTCCCAATGAAGTGATGAGAACAAAGGAGGTAAGCATTTTATGGGTGACAGAAATGAGGCCACCACATAGGCAGAAATAGATGAGCCAGAGGCGAAATCCAAGTGTAAGCCAGGAGACTTCTACCCTCCTCTCGGTCAGTCAGCCAGTCACTCATCCTTGGAGCCCGACTCAGGCTCAGCCACACAGACTCCTGTCTTCAGAGTTCCACGAGAGAAATCAACTCTGCTCTCTGAGACTACAGGGGTCAGGGGCCTCCACCCAGAGTGTCACTACCAAGAAGTTGTCCAGGGGTGTGGTGTGTTTTCTACCATAACCAGACACCCACACTTTCAACCACAAGCCTCACTAAGCCCTCGTGTTTTTGCTCCACACCCTTCCACTACATTTTATTTTTATATGCCAGGCATTTCCCAGAATAACTCAAGATTCCTTTCTGTAACTTAGCAGGAATACTGATGTCTTCCTTTTAGTGGTAAGTTAATTTTAACTTGCTGGTTTAATAACGGCTCTTTCATCAAAGGATGCTGGTATTATATTAGCCTGACCTCATTTCCTTAAAAATCTAGGACTAGCAAAGAACTGGGGCTCCCACGAATGCTGCAGAAATGTTAAGATAACCCTGTAGGTGAAGGTAAAATTCTAGAAGCCTTTCTCTTTTTCGAATTTTTTCAGGAACATTCTACCCAGGACAGTCCTTTTGCTCTTTTGAAGCTTTTCAGGAACATTCTACCCAGAACAGTCCCACTGCATTGAGGATTCCAGCCTCAGGGACTTAAAAGGTTTTATAATACTTCCCCTTCTGTTGCAGCTCTTAAGTGTATTTTTTGTTAGCACATCCATGAAGACTTATTAGTAGGGTCGGGTATCTGGCCTAATGGCTAAGACACCTCTGCTCCAGGAGTCCCTGGGATCAATTTCCAGCTATGGATTCCAACGTCTTCCCAATGCAGATGCTAGAAGGCATCAGATGGTGGCCTAAGCAGCTTGGCTCCGACCACCCTGTGAGAGCTCCAGTTTCTGACTCCTGACTTTAGCTCAGCCCAGTCCCAGCCACCACGTGCACTTGGGAGTGACCCAGGGATGGCAGCACTCCTTCCGTGTGTATATACCTGCATGCTTTTTTATGAAGATGCTGTCTACTGCACACCTGTATTTGGGAATTGGACCAAAAAGCCTCCAGTGACATCATAGTGCAAAGTTCTGGGGAAGGGAATTCTGGCTCTGCCACTTACTGGTGCAGGCCTGGAGCAGATGGCAACCACAGGGCTGTTGAATGTAGAAAGGGTGAAGTGCTTAACCCAGATCCTCAATACACAAGATTTGCCCAGGCTTTATTTAAGAGACCTGATACTGCCTGGGACAAGGCCAAGCTACCTGCTTCTACCTCCCTCTCAGATCCACAGGCCCAGGAACTTCCTTAATGTCTCTTCCTCCTCATCCTTCCCAGCCCTGGCCACCATAGAAAGCGGACACACTGTCCCTGGGCATACCCGACGGCTCTCTGTCCAGCGCCTGGTTCTCACCCCAAAGGAAGTACAGCCTCTTGGCTGTCTCATTTCATTACATGAAAATGCATGCACAACACCACCCAACGATGGGTGCAAGTATCCTTAGCAGGCCTTCCTTCCTCACCCCCTCCCACTTCAACTCCTGCCTATTTATCTCAGGAAAATGACTCCTTGCATTCCTATTTTCCTCTACTCATTTCAGCTGTGTACCCTGAAATCAAGCCACAGTCGATATGCTTTAAAGGACTTAAAGACACAACAGCATTAGAAGAAAAGTCAGATATTTGGGGATATAGCTAGGATGATTTTAAATGTACAAGTCCTTAAGTGCTTCCTCAAACTGTTGAAAAATTCTAACTTCTATTTTTCTTTCTCTAAATAGGCATGCTCTTCTCTGGGCAGTTATGATGAAATTAATCAGGTTCACACTGCAACATGTACCAAATTTTTCTTTTCTGGTTTGAGCTTTTTAACAATTATCAATAATTTTTAAAAATGTTCACTTACTTATTGGAGACAGTGGGAGGAAAGATGAGAGAATCTTTCATTTGCTATTTGACCCCAAGTGCCCACAAAAGCCATAGCTGTGCTGGCCAAAACTTAGAACCAAAATTCCACACCCATCTGCCACATGAGTGGCAGAGCCCCATGCACTTGGACCATCAACCAGAGCCTTCCCAGCTGTGTTAGCAGGAAAGTGGATCTGAAGCGGAGCAGCCTGGACTCAAACCAGCAGCATTCCAATGTAGGATACCACTGTTGCTGGTGGAAGTTTAATCTACTGTGCCATAGCCATTTCTTTTCTGCTTTTTGCATAAGGGTCAGCAACTTATCAGCAAAGCAGTAAGAGCCTGGAAAGTGCATTACCATTTCTAACAGCTTTGCTGCAGGAAACAGCTCATCTGTGGAGACGCAGCCTGTTTCAAAGCAAGTGCAAGCCTGATCAATGTCAATAAACAAGGTTGCACCATTAGTATGCCAACACTGCAAGGACTGCTGTGATGTACGGTAGAGTGCTGTGTCTAATTTCACATCTGCCAGGGTGGGAATACTGATCAGGACCAGGCAGAAAAAATTTCCAAGACTGCATGAAGGGACGAGCAGGAGCCAAACAGTACGAGGACCTCAAACATACATACAGAGGGCTCTTCATGGAGCTCAGGGAAAAGGAGCATTACAAAGTAGGCATGGATTTCAATAGTGTTCTGGAGCCAAATAAGCTTGTGCTAACTTGTTATGACACATGTAAACAGGATCTGTTTGAGACACAAAGAAGGAAAAGACATCTGCTTGAAAAGAACACCTTTGAGAGTAGCACGAATTCAGCGAGAACAAACATCAAATTCATGTCGAAGCTTGGGTGGAAGAATAATGAAGTCACTGAAGTTTCACACCACACACTTTCTGGGAACAGGGTAGGCATTGTGCCACACCAGACTGAGCCACCCACCTGGGGCACCTGCATACCACATCAGACCATGCCCAACCTCTACTGCCGATCCAGCCTCTTGTTATTATGCACCCTGGGAGGTAGCAGATGAGGGCTCAAAGATTCACTACCCAAACAAGAGACTCAGATGGAGTTCTCAGCTCCTGGTTTCGGACTGGTCCATCTCTGGCTGTTGCAGATACTCAGGGAGTGAATCAGCAAATAGAACATCCATCTTTCTCTCTCTCCATTGCTCGGCTTTTCAACTGGAGATAAAACAGAAAAACCAGCGCAAAGGTCTTTTTCCTCTTCAGAATTTCAAGTAGAAGAGTCTCAATTCATTCTTTTATTTTAATTGGAAAGGCATATTTACAAAGAAATGCAGAGTCAGAAAGAAAGATGTTTCATCCACTGGTTAACTCCCCAAATGGCCACAACAGCCAGAGCTGAGCCTATTCAAAGCCAGGAGTCAGGAACCTCTTCTGGTCTCCTACACAGGTGCAGGGTCCCAAGGCTTTGGGCCATCCTCTACTGCTTTTCCAGGCCACAAGCAGGGAGCCAGATGGCAAGTCGAGCAGCCAGGACATGAACCAGCGCCCATATGGGATCCCAGCATGTGCAAGGCAAAGACTTAGCTGCTAAGC